GTGGCCTGGCGAATGACCTGGTGTGTTTACACCGTCCTCCTAAATCTATCACAGACATCTTAACTAGATCTCCGTCTTTGCCAGATCTATATAGCTTCACTAAGTGGGCCCTCTTCACTTCTCCACCCTTCAGCACTTCCTCTTTCCCTTCATTGTACACCATCGTTCTCGGCCTCTTGCCGGTACTTGCTTTTAAAACAGCGATAAGAGATTAAAGTCAAAGATGAGGTCATCTTTATTTCGAAGAGAATAAATCTTCAATGCTGAGACTTGAAAAACTTAAATCAATGTCGTTATCAAAATCTACAATCCTATTCCATTTCCAATTTTGGTGATTTCTTCCATAAAACGAGGCTGTGACACGTGCTGCGAGTTGCATGTCGTATCCCTTTGTGACCCATCTGATGACTTTCTCCTCAGTTAACCCCTCTCTCCTGCCTTGTTTACACAATAGAGCAAAGTCCTTCCTCCTCAGATAGCCTTCACCTTTGAGTAATCCCAGCAGACTCCTTTTCCCACCTCTTACCCATTCATCCCCTCATTTACCTGGCAAAGCCAATTAACTCCTTTATCCTAAAGCAACAGCTCAGACTGTAAACAAATATCTTCCCTCTGTTTTTGTTTACCATTCCCTCCCTGCTTCAACATTAAGTCTGATCTCAACCCTTAAGTCTTTTTTTACCCCGCTTTGAGTGAGTTTGTATCTCCTTAAGACTGCATTAATCCTTTTTTCCCTCCTTTAGTCCTAATCTCCCCCCGTTTTAGTGTCTGTCTACCCCTCATTCATTCTATATTTACACCTCTTTGAGTGTTTTATGGACTCTTCCTTTGGTTGTTTATTTGTCGTGGATTGTCTCTACAGCAACCATATATTCTGTTTACACTCTCGCCAGTCTCACGCATTTAGACCTTAGTTCATATATTTTCACTGTGTTCACATACAAGCTGTATTGTTTCCCTTCAGATCATTCTGTCCCACGATACCCAGAATTCAGTGGTCAACAGCTGCAGTTACATTATAAGTCCTTCTCATTATGAGGCGAGTAATGTCAATAATCACAGAATATCAGTTGAGAATTCTGAATGGTGAAGAGCAGTAATGTAGTAAAGCTTCCTTTTTTTTCTTTTCCACCGGATCAAACAAAGCTTTGTGTTGCAGAATGTGTCCGTGTGTACCGTCACCCCAAAATCCCACTCTAGTTACTCCCCTTGGAATAAAAAAAGAATACTTTAAAACAAAAAGTAATGAACAAGTGGACAACATGCCACCTCCCCGTCGCTTCTCACCCTGCAGTAGAGCGACGTGGAGGAGCAACCTTCGCTGCTCTCCTCGGTGCTGCTGGTTCCCACGGCGGGGCTGAGCATAACGTTGGCCAGCTGCGGGCGAAGGAGGGCCACGTGCATGGCCGTGTCACCGTCCTCGTCCTCCATGTTAACGTCGGCGCCCTCAGACACCAGCAGCTGCACCAGGTCGGTGTGGCCCTGCGTGACCGCCAGCTGCAGCGGCGTCTGGTTCCGGTTGTTGCGGATGTTGATGTCGCAGCGTCCCTTGTGGGCAGAGGAAGGTGAATTAGACGTGCGACACGATGGTGGGTGCATTCTGCTTCGTGCAACTCTACTGTATTTATCAGCAGAATGCAACTCTACTGTATTTATCAGCAGTGAAGAAGAGACGGATCAAAAACAGTTCTAAAAAGGACGGCGATGTGCACCCGGTCTCCAGCTCACCTCCTTGACGAGGATCTCGCCGACATCCCGGTGGTTGTTGAGGGAGGCCAGATGCAGCGCGGAGAAGCCGTCCTCCTTCTTAACGTCCACCAGCTGCCGCGCTCTGCCCAGGATCTTCTCTGTGGCCCTGCCGTCACGACAGACAACACAAAAGTCAATCAGGCAGAGTGCACAACACCCTTCACGGCTCGCGGCTTCAATTAAGAAGAGTTGTATCAGTAATAGTGGCCCAAGTGCTTTTTACTGAATCACCTCTCACTTTAAAAAATTGTAGGTTGCTGAATGTCACAGTTACCTAGTGCCCAGTAGTAATACAAAAGATTCAGATATTGGTGGTTGAGGTGAATATAAATATTCTCTGATTAAATGTGATGCTCCAAAAAATATTTAAGAAGCCACTTTCATCCACATATGTTGATTTAAGCGCAGTAGTGCTAAGACTAAGACATCAGACACAGACTGTATGGACCTCTCAGAATCTGAAGCTCGTCGCCATCCTGTGCCACAGTGTACTTGACACCAGCTTGGACAGAGACGCAGCTGTTGCAGAGCTGTTAACAAGCCGATATAACAAGAAAACCCTCGGCCACAACAGGCAGCCAGTTCTCAATAAACACAGCTAACTGGGCTCCTGATGTACAGCTAACCCTTCCTTTAATACTCCCCCCTACCTTAAGTGTTAGACGTGAATTGTTCCTTTAAGCTGTAACTGAAGCTGGCCATCATCACGTTCAGTATTAAACCAGTGTGCTATAATATGGACAGAATATCACAATCAACGCAACATTAAACGCTTCCAATGTCAACAATTTGAACCATGTGAGGATGACACCACATTCAGTGAAGTGAGACTATAACAACTTCTTTTTGTTTTTGCGATTCACGCAGCGGGGCTGATGCTGCAGTGTGAGGCTGGCCTGCTCTGTAGCCGAGTCTGCTTTATGACGTGTGAAATTGAAGCCGACAGCTTTTAGCGAGCACCGTGGAAGCTTTGGTGCGACGTGACCCAACCTTTCCTTTATGGATGCCGGGCTGATTCTAATGATGCTCGGAGTCCGCTGTCTGGAAACACTGGTGCTGCTGATGTTGATAGATGAGGCTGGGGTCAGACAGACAGCTCCTTATTATCCCTTATTAATAAAGAACGCAACTAGCAATCAATACATTGCTCAGTAACCAGCAGAACATTAATAAGCGTCGAGTAACCGATAATGTATACGAGCGTCTTCATATCCAATCCAGCAATAAAAAGCCAACTACTACAAAACAAAACACGATGCGATACATACAGTAGGTATTCCTAATGTCAAAACTATATCTATTATTTTTTCACTTTTACCTTGTTTGACAATTACTTCAGAATTATGGTTGCTTCGTTACGTAATGTGGTTTTAAAAAGTTAACATTTTTCTACCGTGACAGCGAGCTGGACAGCTTTCTCGTGTCACTCATTTGCCGATATTCATGATTATCTCATAAATAGAAATTCACCACGATCAACTTGCTGCAAGTGCATTTTATCACGATCCACGATCAAATCTTACATCGTCCCATCTCTCCCTAGCACCTCCACATCACCAATGTGTAACTATCCTTCTATTATGTACTATGTAACTGTTAGTCTAAGTTTCACGGCAAGTTAAAAGAAAATCTTAAAAATCTCTCAACCTGAATATTGAATATTTAACAATCATCCCTTCCGCTACATTTTGACATTTCCTTCATTCTACAACCTGAAGACACTTAACAAAATCACAGACTGAATGACAGATGCACGGAAACTAATTGAGCCATCTCAGCTCATCAACACATCAACTCTCTAAAATGATGCATCCAGATAGTGTCATCATCTCTATATTGCACTGCATAAACGCTCCCAGTAGTGTACGGGGAACATGAAAAACGCGAATTGTGTTTGCATCAGTGTAAAAAGGTTTTAATGCATTTATAATTATGATAACTAACAAATTACAGGCTCATTAGCAGCAGACTGCTGATACATTTCAAATGCATTGCTGAGGGCCTGTAAGCCGAGAGAACAGGCTGCTTTGTTACATGTAGAGTCACGTATGGTCGGGATCTCCTCTAGGCGTGATACTAAGGATGAAGGCTGTTGGGGGGGGGGGGGGGGGGGGGGGGGGGGGGGGGACATTGTGTTGGAGGTCATTTGTACCTGCAATGCAGCTCCGTGGGTGTGTGTTTGTGTGAAGGTATTGATAGAGGGAAATATCATTCCTGCTATTGAGTCTCCTCCAGAGCACCTTCGATTAGAGCACCTCCAGAGCTCGCCCTCGCAGTTGTGTCCCCCTTTGCACCCACCACGACTCATGTCTCTGTATTATTTCCATAATCGTTACTCCTGTGTGTTCATGAATATTCAGACTTGGGCTGACGTTTTGGGACAGTTTTGTACAAACATGCCTTCACACACACACACACACACACAACAGCTAGAGGGCATCTCGGGCACGTTGATAACGACTTTTTCCGGAGACCGGAGTCATCGTTTGGCTATTTTTGGGGGGTTTTGCATAATGCTTGTTTGCAACTTGCTTCTTGAACAAAGCAGAAGAAAACGTCCAAGGGCGAGTGCTGCTTCTTTGACTTTGGCGGTGACAAAATAAATGAAAAATAAAAGGATTTCATGTGTAATTATAGCACTGAGAGTTGGTATGCTGTGAAATCTATCCGGTGTGTGTGTCACACAGTTTATGTCAAAAGGCACAATGTAATGCTGGGAAGGAGTAAATAGGGACTGTTGGAAGAAAGAAATGAGTTAAGAGGAAAAGAGGGAGAAATCCAGACAAATACAAACAGACCAACCGCCCTATCCTCACTCTCCATTTGCCTCTTCTGTCAAGCTGAAAACTCCAGAGGAAATCTGGCTGCTTGCCTCATTTCTTTTCTTTCCCAGGACTGTTTGTGAACTTGGCCTCTAGCCCTCTTTTTCCATTTCCTCACAATAAATAAATACGCTAATAAATAAAACATTCTGATCTTTCTGTCACAAATAACAACCAAGGAGAACCACAGCTGCTGGCGGGAACTCCAAACAGTGCTGCATTAAACAAACCAAAAAAAAAATTAAAAAAAATCGACTTTTAAAAAGTCTACACTACATCAACAATTCAATTTACTCCACAAAGATTAATCTCATGTTAAATAGGAGGTAGACCCTCAATCTAATGCCTGCGCACATTCAAACTCTACACTAAAATTTGTGATTCCAGTACAAACAAGGAAAACGTACAACAAACACACATCACCTGTGCTGTCTGAATGCACTGGAGGCCTGCTGATGATATATGATTGAACTGGTGAACCGAGCCAATCCTGAACACTGTAAATCCTGTGTCTCTTCTCTTGGCGCAGCGGCCGATGTCAAGCTAAATGAATGCCGGGGAGTGCGGCCTCAACTCCCAGCACTGCACATATGACACTTGCCAGAACAGATTGGGCATTTATTAAACGACTGTCTACTGCAGCTTCCGCTCCCGTTCCTTTTCCTCTCTCACTTTCTGTTACTGCTTGTCTTTGTGTGGATTTTTTTTACCCATGCTCTATTGACATTTGTCCATATACTGCAGTGATGTACAGGGCTGTCCTCAGATCAGATTTTTAGTAGGATAATTTTCAAGGAGTGTACAATGTGAGCTTGGAGCGGGCTGGTTGTTGGAGTGATGGAGGAATGTGGGTGACAGGGAAGTGAAGTTGGGAGGGCAGAATTTAGCACTTCAAAGCTTTCCTTTGCCGAGAAAAATGGATTGACTTCAGGTTATTTTTCGCTGGTTTAGTACTTGACAGAGTGGCAGAAGTAGATAGTGGAGAGTCTGCAGGCAAATAACTAGAGGACCAAGCTATGGTGATCTACTCTGAAAGCCTTTACTAATGACAATAACAGGGCGCCCACTCTTTGGAATAAACATTTCGAAGATATTATCCAACAAAGTACATAAAATGCACTTTAAAACTCTCTAATTGAAACATTGAAGGATGGACTTATTTATGGTGGTGCTGGGTTTTTTTCATTCCTGCTTCCTTTCTTTCATGGCACCGCTTTAAAAAGAGCCGGGGATAATTTTCCATTACATGGTTTTGTTATAATTTTGGACGGAAGGTTCATGTGAGGTCGTAAAAGTCCTGGAGCGAAGACGCGGGAACCTCATGATGGCCAGGCAGACTTGGTGCACTGTGAAAAATATCAACTCCAAGTCGTTGCTCAGGCCTGTGAGGAGACTTAGTATCTTATTATTTTCTTCTATGTGAAGAAATCACCTGTCAAGGTGCTTTTCAAAGCATTTTACGCAAATGAATCGATTGTACTGCTGAAAATAGCAAGAAAAATAATAATAAAAAAGAGAATAAGATAACTTTACAGCGCAAAGTAACTCAGGTCAGTTGCAGTAATGCATGCAGTCGATCCGCACAGTGAACAATGTAAACAGTCTATGAATATCATATAGAAAAGTACAAACCGCTCAACTGTTGAGGTTGGTTTGAGTCATGGAATAAATAATATATATAAATTACATACTTTCTATGAATACGTAACATTTTGATTTTAAATGTATCAAAGCTGCTGCTGACAACTTGAATAACTTCACTTTTGCTTTGTTCTCTCTACATTTTAGGGCTTTTCGGGGTGTGTGGGATGCAACATGGACAGAGGACGACACCGGCACACCAAAAAAGGAGCCAGACAGAATATGTTGTGTTTGAGGGAGGAAACCTTATCATTGTGAGAACATTCAAGTATGTCTGGCATTTCTGCCTGCACGCTCAGCTTGTGATTAAGCACCTCCAGTGTTAACAAGCCAAAAACCAACACAGTCAGCAGACAATGGAGCCTTTGTGACGTGCGTCAGTGAGGCAGCCTTGATGTTTGGCCTCAAGCACCTAGAGTCAAATAGCTGAGCTGATCTTTCACCAGCTCTCTATTGGTGTCATTTTAATGATATATTCATAAAATACAAATGTGTTCTGCATTGCTGAAAAATGACTACACAGAATGCAGTTCGGGACAAATTTCGGAGGACAAGTCGATGTGTAGGGAACCAGGGTGCAAAAGTAAATGTTGCATTTTTGCCTGATATCGACTGGCAGCCTGCTGACAGCAGCAGAAGCTGTGTGGGAGATGAGCTCTCTATCTGTTACGGATAGTGTTGACCTGCGAGTCCTCAGTTGACACCCATAAACCAACATTTCCCAGGCAGATACGTGCATTCAAACTACCAGATAACATGGCTGTCATTAGTCCATACTGATTGGCTAACAAGCTCATATTATAGGAGACTTGGAGATTTGTGGAATTTAAAAAAAAAAAAAATGTCAGCACTGATGATTCTGGTTCAACTGAATCTCACTGAACCCATTCAAAAATATATAAAAATAAGACTACTCCAAACTAGTGCTGATCTGTTCCTCCTTTTGCTATTGTTAACCATTATCTAGTTATGGTAAGTCATAAGGCACCACCAAGGCTGGTTGTTGGAGCATTACAAAAAAAACACAAGATGCTCTTCCACTAATCCTGCTAGATGATGACTCCAAGAAAATCCCCACTCTATTGAAGCGCCTGGGTAAATACCCACCTTCTCATGTTTCAATGTTTCAATATCTAATCTGATGTCACAACCAAGCTTTAAAAACGTACAAAGTTCCGGACACGATCTCCACTCACAGTTTGTTTCCTTTGAGGGCAGCATGGTGCAGCAGGTTGAAGCCTCTGTGGTTCTGCTGTGTGAAGTCAATGTTGGGCACCAACACCAGGATCTCGATGATATTTCGGAAATCTTTAGCAATGGCGTCATGGAGCGGTGTGTCCCCATATGAATCCTGATTGTGTGAGAAACATTTTTTTTGTTGTTGTTGTTTAACATGTTATAGGTTTACATTAAACCCACCAGACATTTGTTTACAGCATATATTGGAAATGAAAGTGTACACAAGCATAGCACAGCTGCATTATTCAAATGATTACAGTTGTGAAAGGTATCCTACTCATTTTCTTTGTACTAAAATACTTTGTTGTAATCCTGAAATCTAGACTGTGTATACTAATATTGTGTCTATATTAATGTGAAGGATGCTGCAGTCCATTCAGTTTATTTATGGCACAAACTAAAGCAAACTGTGGGCTGCTACATGATGTTTTGTACTGAGTAGCTACACCACTCAAGCAGAAAAATATTGTTGTTAGTGGATCCGGGGCCTGATTGCAGGCACGTTAGACAGTCTGGAAAATGCCTTAAAAGAGACACTAAATTGCATTAATGAGTATGAGGGCTGAAATGTATCAGGGTCACACTCAATCACCATAAATGTATTTATGTTTGTTGTCATCTGCTTGGAAGGACAACATGTGAGTTGCTCATGACATGTGTATAGCAGATGACTGACACTGTCAGAGAAGCTCAGAATTAAACAAACAACAAAAATCACTACTTAGTTTGTAGGGCGACAAATTCTAATCAACGTTCGATCTGGAGGTATCAGGTGTGCTAGGCCCTCTCACCTGGAGATTGACGTCAGCCAAATGTTCGGTCAGCACTCGCACCACGTCAGTGAAGCCCTTGTTGACAGCAATGTGGAGCGCCGTGCACATGGAGTTGTTCAGGAGGTTGACATTTGCCCCTTTGCTCAATAGCAGCCGTGTGATCTCTGCCTGGTTACTAAAAGGGAAGACACCATAAACAGAAAAAGACAAACGCAGATTAAATCCTCACTGTCATCCACTTCAGTTTCGTGATTCTACATGTCTGAGCAGTGCTTTCCATTAAGATAATTCAAACCAGTATATCAAATCTCACTGGCTTATTCTGAAAACCTACTGGGAGCTACACAAAGCTCAAGGGTTTGCACGCTAAGTCACACAAATACCCTTTTTAAACTCTGCAATTTTGTTTTTGCATGCTGTACGACTGCTGCAACATTTGTTGGCTTGACAGCAAGTGTAAATTCCCAAAGAGACTTCCTGAGCATGTGTTAATATGGTGAAAGGAGGAGACATAGCTGACTAATTAGGGCAGCACTTAATGCTGCCACTTCTGTGAATGGATTATCACATTACAAGGAAAGACAGGCCAGAGCTCTACTGTACATCTGTCAGTCTCCTTTCTAAACCCTCAAGGAGCAGAGCTGCAACGTGTGTGTGTGTGTGTGTGTGTGTGTGTGTGTTGCACCTTTGTCAATTGTGTGCAGGAAAAATGTGTGTCCCCTCACCCGAAAGCAGTGTAGTGCAATGCTGTGTCTCCATCTTCATCCTTGACCTCGATGGAGCTGTTGGCCTGCAGCAGGGCCTTCACCACCTCCATGTGGCCTTGGTGAGCAGCGACCTGCAGTGCAGTCTTGCCCTGGTTCTTTATATCCACCTGCCAGGAACACCACCGTGGTGGAAGATTCATTAGTGGCGACAACGACCCGAGACACTAACAGAGCTGAACAAAGACTGGCTGGAAATAATCTGGGCATGAGCGACAACCCTGTTCGTCATACACTCGACACATAATCCTAATAAGTAGTTTAGTCAACGCCAAGTAGAAATGTAGTCGTGTAGAACGCAACAAGACAAGGACTTAAAATTAACTTTTATTTAATTGAGCAACACGTTATTACTTTTCTCACTCATTTAAAAAAACAAACATCTCAGATAATATTATACATTTTATAATGTCATTAGTCATATGGAAAGCCAATTATAACATGTGTTGTAAACCCACAGCTTATAATGTGTAATGATGGTTGATACAGTATATACAGTCTATAAACATATGGTTTAGGTTGACAACTCATGTTACCATGATTCATTGTAGCTTAATTAGCATGGAGTTCAAACTGTGATTGCACATATGTGCTCTTTTCAGACTCTGGTTTACTAACCTGATTATAACAAACCATGTTGGTTTGAAAACCTGTTTACCAGGAGCGACATACTGAGATGATATCATTTTCACCTTTTTAAGTAGTAGCATCCCTAAATTGTCATTATCTCAGTTCTCTTTCTCATACCGTCAGTTGGCTCATTCAATGATCACTCTCTCTCCTACCTTTGGGTTTTAATAATCAGTCTTGAGTGTCTTAACCAAACAAGCCAACGAAATTATGGGAATCAATTTGATCAATTATTAACTAAAATAAATTATTGTCAAATTCGTCATGCCAAATTCCTTGTATGTGCAACATACCGTGGCAATAAATGGTTCTGATTACATATTATATCTCATATTTGACTATCCATGTCATTTCTCTGTTCATTACATGTGTAAATATAGTAAATTACCAACACTCTATCTATCATATATCTCTAGATCGATCGATCGATATATAGGTGAAAAGTCTTAGGATAATGACCCGATCCTACGCATATTTGGAAGAACTATACTATGTACTGGGGATGTGTATGTCAGTTTTTTGCTGCATCATACATATATATATACATATATATATATATACGTATATATATACACATATATATATACACATACATACATATACATATATACACACATACGTATACACATATATACACACATACGTATACACATATATACACACATACGTATACACATATATACACATATACACGTACACACATATACACGTACACACGTATACACGTACACACATATACACATATACACGTACACACATACACATACATACATACACGTACACACATATACATACATACACGTACACACATACACATACATACACATATACATACATATATATATATACACATATACATACATATATATATATACACATATACATACATA